AGCGCCTTAGCTTCCGCTTCAATCGGGGTGGAACAAAGAAGATTCTCAGCTCTCCCATCACACACTTGTCCATGGTGGTTAACAACAACAACACCATATGCCGCCGACTGGGGGTCGCTAAGGAACGACCCATCACATTGAATCACTCTTGAGTGACTACTTGGCGGTGGATTCGTAGTAGGGTGGGATCCCCTGAGCTGAGTGGGACCATCTGAACCTTCAGGTGGGGGCCTCCGGCAAGCAAGCCATTCCGTGAGCTCTCTATAGGTTTGCAGACACACGTTAGGGGGCCAGGGAACTCGGTTCTTGAACGTGCTTTCATTTCTTGCCTTCCATATGTTCCAACAAAGGTAGATAATATGAATCAGGGAGTTTTGAGGGATGGTATCTTTGAGGGAGCAAAACCAATCAAAGAACGAGGTGCCCTGAGGAGGAATCGGAATGGATGGGAAGGTGCTAGTCCAAGCATCACTGGCATGAGGGCAGTAGAAAAGGCAGTGGTTGAGGGATTCGATAGGGTTTTGACACACATGGCAATTCAGATTCGATCTAATTGAGCGGTTAAAATTTGAGTATATTTTTTTTTAATGGGTACGGTAAAACTCTTTGATCGAAAAAATCTAGATTGAGACATCTATCCAGGAATATCAATCTGTCTTCCACCCCATCTTCTTCCACCTCAAGATAATTTGGCATAGGATCTGCTAGGATCCACCCAAGCATCTCTTCTGGGTGTGCGGCATACAAGTGCAAACTTCCGACCTACTTCACATAGGCTCAAATACAATCTTTTGCACCCTACTTCATCCTTCGGTAATATGATGAAGAAGCATCATTCGATACCCAATCTTTCTGATATCTTGACGTAGCTGCCGAGTCGGTTTGACTGGCTGTTGACAATGATTGTTCGATTGGCAATCCTCCTCTCAAGAACTGGATGGGAAATACATTTGTCATACATGAGACGGTACCAACCAACCGCCAAACTCCTCTCAGAAGCAGCAGACCTACAAAACAAAAAAACCCCTCACCGGCCGGATCTCTCCCCACCTACCACAATTACACTTGATCTCGGTCTAAAATTTCTCTCTCGCTCTCTCTCTCTCTCTCTAGCGACTCTCATGGGCCATGGCTAGCTCCGTGGGTATCGTCAATATTAAAGTAGTAGTACTTTAAAGTGCAACTTGAAGTTGTACCGGAACGTCAAATGTACAACTTGAAATTGTATCATAATATAAATGTACAACTTTAATTTGTACCATAAATGCATTTTACAAAACAGTATAGGTACAACCTGAAATTGTAGCAATACTTTAAAAATATTATAAAATTCCTCTTATTTATTTATCGCTAGTTTGATTCAGAATCAGAATCAAGCCCAACAAATCTCATTCAACTTAATGAAGCCCTATATTCTCAATTCTCTAGAACGCAACTCTCCTTTTACAACTTACTCATTTCCAAGTTTGTTCACCAAATCAAGAGATCGTTGGTTGGACCCTTGAGCGAGATATAATAAGTAAAAATGATAGAAGAGAATGGAGTTTATCGTTGGATATAATTCGACACTTCATTTAGTTGGACAGGATTAAACTCAACCCTCTGTTACTTTTTTTTTGTAAATGAATTCTATTGAAATAAAATCTGTACATAAAGCAAATGGGTCATCCACTCATCCCACAATAAGTGGACAGCATCCCAGCAAGAAAAGAATCCCTCTCCCTACTAAAAATTACATATTCTGATCTCTGGCCTCTAGACCATGACATAAGCTAAAAGGCTAAAATTTTCAGGGCCAGTGGAGACTGACGAGTTGCAGTTTGGATGGAGCCCGTCAGTCTCGTTGGGTAGATAATCTACAACCCCAGCCCATCATCATTACCCATATAGAGCTTCTTAGCGTAATTTAAGCTGAGAAGCCGCCAGTAGCCAGGAACACACAACTTTTTTTTTTTTTTTTTGACAAAAGTACATCGCATTTCCATTTCTTTTAGCAAAAGCCGAGGATTACAACAGAGGGGATACAACATCTAGAATCTGTAGCCATTCAGTGGGCAAGGTATTCATAGCACATGATCTAGCAACCCAGTCAGCCATCGAATTTTTCTTCCCACCAATATGCATGACCCTAATCAACGGGTTAGATTCCAGAGCTTGTCTGATGCTTCCAATCCAAGCAGCTGCTCGCCAAGGCCACGTCGTCGGATGGTCGGTCACCGCTTTTACAAGAGGCAAGCAGTCTGATAAAATGAGACATGGGGACAAACAGGAAGAGGCCAGACGTGTTCCTTCCAGAAGAGCTTTTGCTTCAGCTTCAAGAGGGGAAAAGCAATGCAGGTCTCAGCCTTACCGTCACAAACTTGGCCATGACTGTTCGATACAACGACGCCATATGCCGCCTTCTGCGAGTCGTTAAAAAACGATCCATCGCAGTGTATCTCAAAATCATGAGAACTTGGCGGTGGTGAAGAGAGATTCGGTGGTGGATTGAGCTGAGGTGGATGAAGAGAGTCGTGGGTTTTCCTTGGACAGGAGATCCACTGGTGGTGTGTCGTGGAGGCCTTGGTGACTGTCGCGGGTGGCCAGATTCTGAAATTTTTGAAGATTTTTTCATTTCTTGCTTTCCAAGTCTTCCAGAGAAGGAAGATGATCTTCTGAATGGAGCAAACTGAGAACCCAGCAGTCAGTGCATTCAGCCATTCCAGAAATGGCACATTTGGATTTTGGGGGAGGGAGGGACGGCCATTCTTGTTCCCATCCTTCAGCTGCATGAGGGTAGGAGAACAAACAGTGGTGGATCGATTCCGAGGGGAAGTCACACAGTGGGCACACCTTGTTGGGGGAGCACTTTCTGTTGAAGAGGTTTTCTTTGGAGGCAAGTGCATGTTTTGATATCCTCCACACAAAAAACTTGAGCTTTGGGGGTATGGATAGACTCCACAACCATTTCCATCTCTTCATGCTAGTTTCGGATGGCGAGAAATGATGTCCTTGTGCGCCTCTTATAAGATGATGAAAGTGAAAGAAAGCGGACTTGACCGAGAACGTGCCCTGCTCCGTGAATCTCCATGCCCAGAAGTCCTCAAGAGAGTCCGGGCCAATAGGGATGGCAGCTACCTGCTTAACATCACGTGGGCTTAGGAATCTATCAAGGAGGTCAACTCTCCATTCTCTGGTGATTCCATCAACCCAGCCATCAACCGTAGACTGATCAGGCCATTCAAAATCCAGCACAGTTCCCATTCTGTCTCTTCTCCAAGGGTCCTGATTTTTTTTGTTGATTTTCCATTTCCAATGACTCTGATGACACCCCGCTCCATCCAACTTAGTGGTAAGAATTGTAACACCGGAACAGAAAAGTCAGGATAGGTATTTTATGTTATAATCATAGTTTAACCATTTCACACTATTAAATATCAACTATTGAATTAGTCTATGATAAGAGTTATTTTTGTCGAACGCCGGTATGGTAGAGTTTTTCAATCTTGCTTAGAGTTGTTTCCGGAGAATATAAGAGTAATGTAATGCATTCATAATATATAAAAAAATACCGCACCACTAAATCTCGCTCTAGCATTACTATCATCGCTATACTTTAAAACGAGAAATTATTTAACTGTCCTTAAAATAAAACAAAAATTGTGAAACAAATACATGCTACAAATCTTCTAGATTTTTGCCTAGGGGCGGTCAATGGGAAACAGGTATTTGAGTATACCCATACTCGTTCCGTTTTTTTAGGGTTATGGATAACCAAATACCCATACTTTTTATGGGATGGGACTTGAAATCAATAATTGTTACTTTGACTACCCGCGGGTAACCCGTTATACCCATTAGTCCAAAATTGTTGCAAGATTGTTGCAAGTGATTCTGCTGCTCGTGTTGACATTACTTCAAGTTGTTTTTTTTATCTCGAAGGGAAGAAGTTGGATTTGAAAATTTATTACTGAGTGAATTTTATTTTTAAATAATTTGTGAGATTTGAAGTTAATAGTTGTTTTGAGAATTTAATTAGTGGGTAACCAAAAACTGAATGATTAGCACCCTACCTCTTAAGTTGTTCTTTCATGGACATTTTATATATAGATACTATGTTTGCAAAAACGTATACATTTCTCTGGAGTTGAATTTAATTTCGTAAATATATTGGGTGTAGTGGCGGATACATGCATGTTTAGGGGTGTCCCGGGACACCCCTAAAATTTGGAAACACGATTATTCAACCTCCGATAGTAGTTTGCGTATAAGTAAAAAAATGTTTAAGTGATAGTGGGACACCCTTAAAATTTGAAAAAATGATTATCCAATCTCTCGTAGTAGTTTGCGTATTGATACAAATAATATTTAAGTAGTAGTCTATGTGATTTAAACTAGGGACACTGCCTTTATTAGTAAACCTATTTCAATTACACTACAACTCATTTGTTATTTTGTTTTAGATCCAAATATAATAGTAAAATATTATTCTTATTTGTCAAAACTTAACTATTGAACCCAATTACCAGATACCCTTATCTAATAAGATATGTATAGAGATATTTGTTGAGCAATATAGACACCGGATGTATTTTACCATTTTACGAAACATGTATGAACTTTTAATGTAACTTTTATATTTAATAATTATTTAGTTTAATTTTAATAATTATTTAATTTAATTTATAATTTATTTTAATTTTTAAGAGAGGACACCCCTATGTAGAATTTCTGGATCCGTCACTGGGTGTATGGACGTTGTTCGATACTTTTTAAACTCGATTAGTCAAATATCTCAAATATTTCCCCTTATGAATCAACTTATCAAACAAAATAGCGATTGTGAGCCACAATTACACGAGTGAATATGAGGATGTATTTTTTTCCTAAATTGAGTTTTTACTCGTATGCTTCCCGGTCAACGTACCCGACCCTGCTAGTCCAGTGTCGCGTAAACAGTAAGGAGATTTATTTTACCCGAAAAGAGTATAAGAGATTAAATTAATCAACTAACAGTAGATAAGCCAAGCCAAGCCCAAAACAACCTCTTCAAATCAAACATAATGTTAATGTCCTTTGTAAACCGAAAATCAAACCAACCAACATAACCTTCTTTAACTCTAGCCCATTGCACTGCCCGACCCGATCAGTCCCTGGTACACCCGCCGTGATTGGAGCTCCACTTCTCTCCACACCCATAGCAGAATTCATACTTGCACCTATGCGCAATACAATACAATAAAAATCAAATTAATCAAACAAACAACCAAACCATATTGAAATTGGCCCTGACCAAAATGACATTCTATTGACAATATTGAGTGGAAAACCCTAAAACCTGGGTTGTGCTTTTGCATTGAGATGAATATATATGTGGGATTGCCACTACAGGTTAAGGATCTGCTGGGTTGTGTCCTTTTACAGCAGAGCAGAGTGAAAAGAAAAGCAAACAGAGAAGAATTACAAAATAGAGCCTATTGTGGCGGGTTCAGTGATACTGTGCCGTTTAAGGCAACGGTCGACTTCTTCCCCTTTACGACGTCGCTCCATGTCTTGGGTTTGGAATTTTCAATTTCAGCTGTTACCCCCCCACAAGCGGGTGGGCAGAGCGTCTGGACACCGAGCTTGGATAGAAGAAAGCTGAATGTAGCTGGAGGAAGTGGCTTTGTGAAGAGGTCCGCGAGTTGGTGAGAGCTCGAGACATGAAGGAGCTTAATTACCTTGGCTTGCAGCTTTTCCCGTACCAGATGACAGTCAATTTCGATATGTTTCGTCCGCTCATGGAATGTTGGGTTGCCCGCGATGTGCAGAGCCGATTGATTATCGCAAAAGATGGTTGCTGGTTGCGGGTGAGAGACTCTGAAATCAGTGAGGAGAAAGAGGAGCCACTGTACCTCGCAAGAGGTGTATGCCAGGGCTCTGTATTCGGCCTCACACGATGAGCGAGAGACTGTATGTTGCTTCTTGCTCTTCCAAGAGATTAGAGAATCTCCCAGGTAGATGCAGTAGCCTGTGATGGAGCGCCTGGTATCTGGGCAGGCAGCCCAATCTGAATCGCTGTAGCCTTGAAGATGGAGAGTGGATGAGCGGGGGAAAAATAAGCCAGAGGTTGGTGAAGATTTCAAGTATCTGAGTACACGAAGAAGAGCTTTGTAGTGAGTTTCAGTTGGGCTGGCCATGAATTGGCTGAGTTGCTGGGTGGAGAAACTGATATCAGGCCTTGTGGTTGTAAGGTAGATCAGTTTCCCCACGAGTTTCCTGTAGGTGGCAGCATCAGTGAGGGGTTGATCAGAGGCAGTAGACAGATGAGATTTATAATCCATTGGTGTTGAAGCAGGTCTGGAGAGAAGGACACCAGCCTCCTCGATGATTTCCAGGGTGTATTTCCTTTGGTTAAGATGAATGCCTGATGAATCCCTTGACACTTCCAGACCTAAGAAGAACTTGAGATTCCCAAGATTCTTGATGCCAAAAGCTTGATGTAGGTGGTCCTTGATGTGGTTGATCTCAGTCATATCAGATCCTCCAATGATTAGATCATCAACATATATGAGGATACAGGTATAAGATGTTGGTGTTTGCTTGAAGAAAAGGGAGTGATCAACCTGGCTTGATTGGTAACCTTGAGAGCATAAGCTATCTGCCAGTTTGGCAAACCATTGACGTGGGGCTTGCTTTAATCCATAGAGGGATTTCTTCAGTAGGCATACTGGGTTTGGAATATTGGCTGGTGGTGTGTAACCCTTTGGGAGCTTCATGTAAACTTCTTCATGGAGATCTCCATGAAGAAATGCATTGTTTACATCAAGCTGTTGAATGATCCAGTTCTTTGCAGCAGCAATGGCCAAGAATAGCCTCACTGTTGTCATTTTAATGACTGGGGCAAAGGTGTCCTGATAATCGACACCCTCCTGTTGGCTGAAGCCCTTTGCCACTAGCCTAGCTTTTTCTCTTTCAAGGCACCCATCAGAGAGGAACTTCAGTTTAAAAATCCACTTGTTACCAATGGCCTTCTTCTTGGGAGGTAGGGAAACAACATCCCATGTCTGGTTTTGAATTAGAGCCTTGAGCTCAGACTGTACTGCATTATCCCATTCTGGACTTAGGATAGCTTCTTCATATGTTTCTGGTTCCTTGTAGGAAGAGATGCTAAGAGCAAATTTCTGATGTTGTGGTGATAGAGATGAGTAATCAATGAGAGCAGACAGAGATGCAAAATTACCTGATTGTGAAGACTCAGTTGAGTGACTGGTGGAAGAAGACTGCTGGAGCAGGTTGCAATGGTATGGTTGTAGTCTTGCTGGTGGTTTTGTTTGTCTGTGAGGTTTTCTAATGGCAATGGGAACATTTGAATCTGGAGAAGAAGGGTTGTTGGATGAAGGGTGGATGGGAACACTGGAAGATGGAGGTGCAGGTGGTATAGGAGTTGTTAGGGGAGGTGGTGGGTCATCAAGGAAGGGAAGAGAGGGGTATAAGGGGTTGTCATTAGTGTCTGTGTCTTGTTGGATGTGATGGAAAGGGAAGTGATCCTCATAGAAGTGCACATCTCGTGAGATGAAAACCTCATGGGTTTGAAGATCATAGATCTTGTAGCCCTTGATGCCACTAGGATAGCCTAGAAAGACACCTTTCCTGGCTCTGGTTTGGAACTTGGTTCTGTGGTTACTTAGGGTGGAAGCAAAGCATAGACACCCAAAGACTTTGAGGTCTGTCAAATCTGGTGGTTGCTCATGGAGTTTTTGGTAAGGTGTGATGTCACCTAGAACTATGGTAGGGACTCTGTTGATTAAGAACACAGCATGCTTGACACACTCACCCCAGAACCCTATTGGTAAGTTTGATTGATATTTTAGAGCTCTTGCAATGGCCAATATGTGTTGATGTTTGCGTTCTACTTTACTGTTCTGTTGGGGTGTCTCAACACAGGACATCTCATGAACAATGCCAGTGGAAGAAAAAAAACTTGGCATCAGAAATTCTTTACCCTGATCACTCCTAATTCTTTTAACAGAATGACCAAACTGTTTTTCAGCAAGCAGGCAGAATTCTTGTAGTTTAGGACCTGCTTCTGATTTTGAGTGAAGTAGAACAAGCCAAGTCATTCTACTGAAGTCATCTACAATTGTTAAGAAATATTTGTAGCCATCAAAAGTAGGAGAGGAGTTTGGACCCCAAATGTCAACATGTATTAAGGAAAAAGGATGTGTAGAAACAGTTGAACTATCGGGAAAAGGAAGCCTTCTTTGCTTTGCAAAGTGGCAAACATCACAAGGAATAGAGCTGTTTGTATCTATGGAGTTACAAATTTGTTTCAACTTTGGAATTTTAAAGTGAGAAACATGGCCTAATCTAAAATGCCATAGGTCAAAGCTATTTGCAGTAGTAGTGGAGGCTATGACAGGCTTAGGGCTACTGGTGGCTCCTAGATGGGTCATGTGGTAGAGGCCATGGGAAAGCTCAGCAGAACCAGTCACTCTCCTGAGCTCCAAATCCTGTATTATGCATACATCAGAGAAGAAAGTTAAGCACAGGGATCTGTTTGTGGTTAACTTGCTTACTGATATAAGGTTGAATGTGAACTGGGGTACAAATAAGACTGCCTCAAGTGTCAAATCTGCTACAGAAGTAACACAACCAATATGTGTAGCCTGTACTCTAGCTCCAGTAGGTAAATTGATGTAGACATTATGTAGAATGCTTGGATTTTCTAGGAGACTTAGTGAGCAGACAATATGGTCTGAGGCACCAGTGTCTAATATCCATGTGGTGCTAGAGGGTGATCTACCAGAAGCATTCAAGGAATGTTTACCTGATGGTCCTTCATATGAATGGAAGGCAGCTGCTGTATGAGTACTGTTTTTCTGTGAGTCTTTCTCTTTGAGCATAGCCATGAATCTGTCATAGTCACTCTTGGTTAACCTCACCTCTTGGTTGTCAGGATTGGTAGAGCTGGGAGACATAGGAGGCTGATTGGTGAAGGCAGGAGCTTGGAGTCTCATTGGGGTGGATTTGAACTGATCTTGGAGGTGCCAGAGGAGGGCCAACCATGCTTGTGAAAGCACCTATCCTCAGAGTGACCCCTCCTTTTGCAGAAGGTACATTCGAGGACTTTTCCCTGAGTGGTATTAGAGTTGGGTCTTGGGGTCATCCCAGGTGGCCAGCCATGTTTGTGGTAACAGACATCTTCAGTGTGTCCATTCCTCTTGCAGTAGGTACAGTAGGGGCGTTTGCCTTGTGAGCCTTGAGAAGCAAGAACCACTGACTCAGAGGCAAGAACCCTGCTCTGTTGAGATCCAAACTGCTGCCTTTCATGTTGAAGTAGGCGCTGGAAGACCTTGTCAATAGAAGGTAAGGTCTCTCCAAAAAGAACTTGAGATCTTACTGTAGAGTAGTTATCATTCAGACCCCTAAGAAACTGGATCACATAGTTTGTTTCTCGGTAGTGAAGAACCAGTTTCAGGGCAAGACATGTTTGATGACTTGTTGGAGTACAGGCACAGGGTTCTATTGGCTGATAACCATCTAGTTCATCTTGTATAGCAATGAAATGACCATAGTACTCATTGAGGGTCTGATTACCTTGTTGGAGACTAGAGAGTGATTCAATGAGTTCTGCCACTCGAACAATGTCTCCCTGACCATATCTAGCCTTTAGACTTTGCCAGGCTTCAGAAGCAAGCTTGAGAGACATCAAGGTCTTGCGAATGCCTGGTTCAACAGCTTGTTGAATCCAGCTGAGAACCATAATGTTGTTTCTTGTCCAGGACCAGTGAAGAGGATCTTCGTTTGTTGTTGGAGCAGGGATGGTGCCATCAATGAAGCCGAGTTTGTTCTTCGCTCCAAGGGCATTGTACATCGCCTTGCTCCAGTCATTGTAGTTGGTAGGAGTGAGTTTTTCTCAACCAGCAAGACTCCAGGTTGTTCAGAAGCATGTAGAAAGTAAGGATCCGCCATGGGATCAGGTTGAGCAGGAAGTGGGACTTGAGCCATGGTGAAAAAATTTTAGAGGCGGCTAGGGTTGAGGCTCTGATACCATATTGACAATATTGAGTGGAAACCCTAAAACCTGGGTTGTGCCTTTGCATTGAGATGAATATATATGTGGGATTGCCACTACAGGTTAAGGATCTGCTGGGTTGTGTCCTTTTACAGCAGAGCAGAGTGAAAAGAAAAGCAAACAGAGAAGAATTACAAAATAGAGCCTATTGTGGCGGGTTCAGTGATACTGTGCCGTTTAAGGCAACGGTCGACTTCTTCCCCTTTACGACGTCGCTCCATGTCTTGGGTTTGGAATTTTCAATTTCAGCTGTTACATTCATTCATCCTCACCTGCAAGTGATGTGAGGGCAGCCTTCCGTCCTCTCGACGTAGAATTTGCAGTTCGGGCACCGCCGCCACTTGTTGCTCTTCGCCATCTCCATCACCATAATGTCTTCCCTGCCTCGCTCGTCCTGCCCCAGCCGCTGGAACACTTCGCAGTCCACGCCGGAGTGCCACGCCACGCCACACTGCGCGCAGAACAGCCTGTGGCAGTACGGACACTCCGACTCCCTGATCGATTCCGCCTCCGCCACAAGCATCGCCGAGCAGTCCCTGAAGGGGCAGTAGAACCTCTGCGACTCTCCGATCGAGTTCCGGCACAGGGCCTCCTCCCATTTGTCGATCACCGCCTTGGGGAGAGCACCGCGGCAGGAATCGAGCTCGATTGCGGTCCCGCACCCCGAAGCAGGGCAGGTGATCACGGTCGCCGCCGCGCCGCTCTGCCCGATTTTGGCCGCCACGTGGCGGGATATGCAGTCCGTGCAGTAGGCGGCGTGGGTGCACGCTCCGACGGCGAGAATCTGGTGCGATTGCTTACTGTCCGCGCAAATCTCGCAGAGCTTCAGTGCTTGTTCCTTGTCGTCATCTTGGGGAGAGTCGTGCGCTTGCGTCGGCAGCAGAGTTTGTTGGTGGGTTTGGTTTTCTTGGCCGTCTTCATTCGCCGAATTGAGGTCGGAGAGTTGTTTTCTCCACCGGCTTCTCTTCCGCAGACTGCTTTGGTTCTGCGGATGATTGAGGCATTTGGAGAGAAAGGACGATTTGAGTAGAGAGTGGGAGTGACAGAGGAAGAGGAAGAGCGAGCTTACACTATGAGTCCGAATGGAGACGAATTTGATGAACGAAAAATGGGTAATAATAAAAAGAGAATGGAATTTGAAGGATTGTGATTTGCGGGAAGGAGGACGAGGAGACCAGATTCATGATCATAATTAATACAATTAAGTTTTGCACCAAACGAAGCAACTTAGAAGGGAAGTCGTTGGGTGTCTCCTTCATTGGAACTACTTCGTAGTGAATCTTCCTTTATGAAAAAATTTGACATGAGGCAGAGGAGGTTTCAAATTGCGAAATTTAAACGAATCAAATCGATAAAAGATAGTCGTTTGAAAGTGTTGTCGTCAATTACGAATTTCGAGTTATGGCCTTTTCACAAAAGCAGTGCAACTCCGTGAGTGTGAAAATAGTTATTCAAGCTCCGAACTCGAGTCGCTGGTCAATTTATATTTTTCATGATGACAATAGTTTTGAGAAGAAAAATAGTTGAATAATTAATAATTGGTAACAATTGGGTGTTGATTCGTGATCATTCTCCTGACGTATATTGGTTCTAAAGTGTTGCAGGAGAAATAAGATACTCCGAAATACCATATCCTAACTCTTGACTTGTCATTCTCAACTTTATTGTCACAAACTAGTGCGACAAAGTAAGACAGATTATGAGTTATGTCTTTTAAGTAGTGCAGGCTGGAATTATGAGATCATGTGTCTCTTTTATTCGTAAGTCGATTTTGTTGTGAGCTTTTTAGTGTCTTAAGCTCTCATTGTACAAAGCTCATTTGGGAGGCGACTTTGACTTCAACTTGTGAAGGTTGCTTGATAGGATGATGTAGGTGGCAGGTCCAGATGTTTGCTATGATACGTACTAATTATGAGTATGATTTGGCAAGAAATAAAACCACGTTTTTGTTTCTTTGTGAACTTGGACAGTCCATGAAATTCATTGACCTACATTGAACTATAAATTCAAGAATGAATACTATGATTCTTATTAGCTAGGACTTGGGAGTTTCCCAAAGTTAACTTTGGACAACGCTATAGTACTTTTTTTAAATATTTATTATTTAGGAACCTCAGCCTCACGTGTCATTTTGTTACAGTGGGTCCTACTAAATTTGGGGGTCACCTGCAATCAAATTCGATGCAAATTGGACTTCGCCTTCAGCAGTCTTATACCTCCGGGAACACTAACGCATCTTGCTTGGATTCAAACTTAAGATCTGCAACTCCCAAACTTTCACTGCTCTATAGTAAATTTTTTTTTTATCATAACGCTATAGTACATTATTACTGCTCCAATATAATTATGAGCATAAAAAAAATCCCCGCTATTACGTACTAATTATTATGTATTAATTGTTGGTGACAAATATATTAAAAAAAAAATGAGAGGACTGCTTCGGCTATAAGGGGGAAAAATAAAACAGAAAGTCAGAACTAAAGAAGAATAAAATCAATAAATAACTGGATTTTCCAAGCAGCCAAGAACAGTAGTGTTTCTGCTGGCTCACTAATCAATCATTTCCCCCAACTACTTCGATGCCAAGTTAGCTCATTCACTGAATCGCACTCCTTAAATTGGGGAAGTACCGGCGCCCAATTTGCAATTCAGGCGGCTTCCCTCTCATACACATCAATCGAATCCGACACAAAAACGTACAATGGCCATGGAAGCAGCGATGGTCGCTGTCCTCGACCGCCACGCAAACGTCAGCGCTGGTGGGAAGCCGGTCAACAACTGGTACGAGAAGAAGGGAAAGACCAACAAGAAGCTCTACAAGGAAATGTGGGCTCCTAAGGATCATCACTCCGACCGCAGGAACCGCAATGGCAGACATTTCACGGCCAACCGCCCGCCACCGCCACGTGTCGGTTATCGGCCGGTGGAGGAGAAGCTGAGGATGGCAGAGGCGGAAATCAGAGTGCTAAATGCAAAGATCCAAGTGCAGCATCAGGAGAGTATGGAAGCGGTAAGCAAGCAAAGATTTGACCTTTTTTTTTCTAAAAATCATTTTGTGATTAAGGCACGAAAGTAGAGGAATCATGTCATTATAATGTAATTGAACTCTGTCATGTGAACTAATTAGATGGATTTCCAAGAGCAATTCTTCAAAGACCAAATCAAGACCATTCTGGAGGGAAGAATTGGTGATGATGATGGTGGTGGGAAGGAAGAGAAGGAGGAAGAAGATGCTGCAGATTGCCATTTGGGTACAATTTCTGTACTTGAACCCGAACCCGAATCTCGGCCCACTAGTCATATGAACAAAGAGATGCAGAGGATTGTGGGAGTGATTGAGAAGATGAGGAAGAACAAATGGGAACCTGCAGATAATTAAGTCGTTTGGAGGAGAAGGCGTGATTGTACATGCCTAGATTCTTAAAAGGAGAAGTTCGTGGTAACCATGAACTTGAATAATGATATGCTGGGATGTTCTAATTGCTAAATTAGGAGATAATTAATTGGCCAAATTCACCTGTATAGTCAAAACTTTGACGGTTTTGCCAAATATAGCCACTTTTGGAGAAATACCAGAAATAGCCACTTCCGTCCAATTGTTTGACGGTGTTAATTAACGTGCTGACTGGATGATGACTCGATATTTGCACAGGTTTTCCCCTTTGTTCCTTGATCGTTTAAGCTTGCATTATTGCTTCTTTGGCCTATTTTACGCTAGGTTGTGTTCCTTTGTCATATTTCAGGTCCTAGCACATAAAGTGAAGCATAGGCGTAAGTTTCAAGTCAATCAGAGATCAATTGGCGATTCGGGAGAAGAAACTCTGGCATGACCTGAAGAAGAATGGATTTCTACCTCACTTTATGGACAAAGAATCGTGCAAGTTTGACATGAAAAGAAAGAGGACGAGACTACGAGCGTCTGGGATCAAACGGCGACTGATTCGGAGTCCGGACGAGGGAGAAACGAAGCATTGAATATAGGGGAACAGGTTCGGCAGTAAAAACACGGGCAGGAGGCCTTCAAAACACGGCCGTGTTCTGTGACCGTGCTTTTACTGTCGAGAGCAAATCCGAGTTTGGCAGACATGAGCTGATTACACGGGCAGGGCCGAGACAAAGCACGGGCGTGTTCTCCCAAAGCACGGCCGTGTTCTCCCTAAAGCACGGCCGTGTTTTCACCAACATGTGGCCGTGTAATTAACCCTAGCCAAAGCACTTGCGGGCTGAGGCAAAGCACGGCCGTGCCCTCGACAGTGCTTTGGCCAATGATGCCCTTTTAGGCAGATTTCAGCCAAAAAGAGAAGGGGATTCGAGTTTTGAGAGAGATAGAGCGATTCCTAGAGAGAGAAAGCGACGAACAAGAGTCTCCAAGCGCCCTAGATCGATCTTCAACACCATTGGAGCTTGGTTTGAGCTTGGAGAAGTGCCGATTCAACGTCCAGGAGCAGAAATCCATCTTCACAGTATGATTTCCGCATCTGATTCTGCTTTTGCTTCTCTCTCCATGGAGTAGTTCTCCCATTCATCTGGGTGTGGGAAACCCTAGTTCTGTATGTTGAGATTGATTGTATGAACCCAAGTACTGTTTCTATGAATTGATTATATTCGATTGAGGTTTGAATGATTGAATGACTTGAATCCTGATCAAATTCCTGTTGTTTCTGCTTTAACCTAGAATGAGAATATCTGACTAGGTTGATAGAGCATCCTTGATTGAAGGTAGGGAGTTGGTGACTTTAGTCGAGGAATGACTCGCTGTTACTGTCACTCTAGAAATTGGCCAAGTGTAACCACTTCCTAAAGCGTAGTATAGCGGGTTTGGGTTTTAATGTCAACCCGGGTCCTAGATGTGATGACTACTCAGTGAATTCGTATTATCTAGCAATGAAACTTTAGTGAAGTTCTAAACTAACAAGCAAACAAAGCAACTAAACGTTTGTATTCAGGTTAAGAGAGGTCACCCGGATATGGTTCCCCCTAGTCTGCAGTTAAGCCGGATTGTAATTACCAAGTTCAATTTCTATGATAATTATACTGCGGAAGGTTCTTAAACAGTCTGAAGTCTCGACTAAAGGTCTCCAGACCCTCTCAATCTGAGTCTCTAGCTGGCGACTAACCTACACCGGAGTAAACAGATTGAGGCCCTAAGAACAAAACCTCCACTACCGAATTGAATTCGGTACAGAATAGTGAACTGGCTCCTCGACTAAAGTCACCAATTCACTACCTTCGATTAAGGATACTCTATCAACCTAGGCAGATATTATCATTCTAGGTTAAAGCAGAAACAACAGGAATTTGATCAGGATTCAAGTCATTCAATCATTCAAACCTCAATCGAATATAATCAAATATCATAGAATCAATACTTGGGTTCATACAATCAAACCTAACATACAGAACTAGGGTTTCCCACACCCAGATGAATGGGAGAACTACTCCATGGAGAGAGAAGCAAAAGCAGAATCAGATGCGGAAATCATACTGTGAAGATGGATTTCTGCTCCTGGACGTTGAATCGGCACTTCTCCAAGCTCAAACCAAGCTCCAATGGTGTTGAAGATCGATCTAGGGCACTTGGAGGCTCTTGTTCGTCGCTTTCTCTCTCTAGGAATCGCTCTGTCTCTCAAAAACTCGAATCCCCATCTGTTTGCTCGAATTAGGCTTTAAAACTGGCTTTCCCGAGTTGCACGGCCGTGCACATCACCATTCTGGCCGTGCACCCTAAAACGCGCCGTTTCATTTAAGTCAACTCATGCTTCTTGCACGGCCAGGCGCACGGCCGTGCAAGTCTAGAATGTGGCCGTGCGAGCTCTCGCACCAACCCGCACGGCCAGGTTTGTATGTTGCACGGCCGTGCGGGTTTCTCCGCTCTGCCCGTGCGTGGCCTCGGCATGAGGCGCACGGCCATATGGTGCAAGTGCACGGCCGTGCGTCTCCATGGTCTGGCCGTGCGGCTCCCCAACAAGCTCGTCCTTCGTCCGTTCGTCGTCCAATCGACCCCAAACTCGCTCCTAAGCCCTTATTCACGTACTAGGACCTGAAATAACACAAACAAACACAACCTAGCGTGAAATCGGCCTAAAACACGAGAATCAACACCTCAAACGGAGTAAGAGCAGGGGTAAAAACATGTGTAACTAACGGTCTATCAAACTCCCCCACACTTAACCGTTTGCTTGTCCCCAAGCAAACCAAGTCAGACACTAGGTAAGCTTACATATCACAATCAACCAACATTGGGGACAAGTCATACAGGCACAGAACACGTGAATCGCACTGGTTTTCAAACATCAATACATGCACAACCTCAATAACAACCTGGACAACCACCACAAAGGACATTCGAGTGCAGCAAATCGAGTACAGGAAGAGTCTCCCTTCTGTTCACTGGCCAACCTAGACTTGATTCAACCACTTACTCAAAACAGTCAACGCATGCATCCAACTCAAGACATCAGAATAGAGACCGAGCAATCTAGGTCCTCACCGGGGTACAAGAGCATAAAGAAAATGAAAATGAATCACTCACTCTCGACCAGTGGGGTCAGGACAATTTGATGCGAAAGATGCGCATGCCTATTCCTCTCAATTCCTATCATCTCTTCACCATGATGGCAGCCTCTAAATGCTAGAGTTCACATATGGGGTGTCACCACTAACTAATCAGGAGGTCTTAGACACAGGTTCAAATGACTGGCTAGGGTCTTGGACATGGGGAAAATGCCTTTTAGGTGGTGGAAGTATTCATAGCAAAAGGTTCCACATTTTCCAAACACACAATCACAGTCAAACAACCTGGTATTTTCTCTCTGCTATCCTGCATTACTCAATATCTTAAGATCACAAGAGCGAAGGAGGCACAAACATCAGTGTTCCCAAGCCAGACTGCTAAGAAACACTACTTACTGGGCATTACTCAGATTTTTGGTAGTGGCTCTCTTTTGCTTTCAATTTTTCTTTGTTTTTCTTTTATTTTTCTTTTCATTTCTTAAGAGAGCCACCACTTCTGCACAATTCAAACATCTGCCCAACTTTTAAGCACTACCTCCAACACTCACATAGACTTAAGCAGAAACAGCAGAGACAATATAAAAACCACTCTGTGGAACCTTCTAAAAGATGCAACAAGGGTGATTTTCTCCATTATAGACCAAAAGAAAGGATAACACACGGCTCAAAGGGGCTGACTAGGGGATATAACACATCAGGACAGTCAGTTTTGGGCGTGGGCTAATCCTATGCCTCCATCATCTCAGCTAGTGACAACGTGAATGCTACACATCATGGAAGAGGGATCTATCGCACAAGAAAGAAACGAGCAGGCTCAAATCTCGCATGGCTACCTATATGCTCTATCTCACATTCTGATACCCTGAACTAGATGCATAAATGACTGTCAAGGACAAGTAATCAGATCAAGTCAGATCAAGTCACAGTTGGCAAGCAAACAGTTGAAAAACTGAACCCCTACCTCGTTCTACTGCACATCTCAGTCCTCATCATAGGTTGTCCTAGTCGCAAACAAGTTGTCATGCATTAATCCGAAAACCAATCAATTCATCCATCAAAACACAGTGCCAATATGATCAAACAGCAGTACTTGGAGCCCTCAAATCGTAAGATTCGGACAGTGGACTAGGCTCCAAGCACACAAACAGATCTAATGCAGTCAAAAGATAAACACCCCCCCACACTTAAGATCGACATTGTCCTCAATGGAGAAGAGGAAAGGAAAGGGGAACGATGTTACCGTTGGCACAGACTGCAGGAGACTGGAAACGGACCAGGCGGGAACACAGCACAGCTCAAGGGAAACAGAAGAGCTCAACCAGAATATGTTAGGTCCGATGTCAGCCCAATAAGACATCATCCAGAACAAAGAAAACAAACCAAAACCAAACAAAAACGCAATCCGACTCGAAACATAAGAAAGAAAGTCAAACCGTGGTGGGGTTGCCTCCCCACAAGCGCTTCTTTACCGTCTTTTAGCTGGACGCCCATGGCGGAACTAAGGGTCCGCGAGTTCCACTACCAACTCCGCGCGTTCGACCTCGTCTCCCAGGTAGAGCTTGAGACGATGGCCGTTCACTTTAAATGGCTCAGTCTGCGGGTTGGCAATCTCGATAGTGCCATACGGGAACACCTGTGTGACCGTGAACGGTCCAGACCACCGGGAGCGGAGTTTTCCGGGAAAGAGCTTCAGGCGAGAGTTGTAAAGGAGAACTCGATCACCAACCTGAAACTCTTTCGGACCCCTCAACCGTGCATCGTGTAGGCGCTTAGTGCGCTCCTTGTACAGCTTGGTGTTCTCATAGGCGTGGTAACGCCACTCTTCCAGCTCCAACATCTGCATTTTACGCTCAGTACCTGCAACACGAACATCCAAGTTGAGCAGCTTAAGGGCCCAAAAGGCCTTGTGCTCTAGCTCCACGGGCAAATGGCAAGCCTTTCCATAGACAAGCCGGTACGGTGAAGTACCAATAGGCGTCTTGTAGGCAGTGCGATACGCCCATAGAGCATCATCGAGCTTGGTGGACCAATCTTTGCGAGACTGATCCACCGTCTTCTCCAGG